TCTCGAGGCAAATTGAATGCTATATCACTGGCCTTTCAAAAAAGCAACTTGCCGCCAACAATTGGTTGTCATTACATAAATGATCAGATGAATATTGGGTTAGGGTTGTAAGACAGAATGCTAGCAAGGGAGAATGGGGTGTTTATAAGTCAGTGTATGTAGGCTGAGATTTTCAGTTCTAACCGGATAAAGTTTAGGCGCTTAAGAAGTGTGGCTTCTGACATACTGATGGAAATACTGATTTAGTCCTTTTGAAGAACACTTCTCAACAGCCAGATTTCTGCCTAGTCCTTAGTGCAGCAGACGTCACTGCTCCAAAGGGCTGAAGGGAACTGGATATTTTGTTCTGCAAGAATTTTTAAAATTAAAATAATAATAATAATAATTCTCAGACTACATCAAGACAAAAAGTCAATCTGAAAACATTTTCTAAACATACAAACCAAAGACCAATAGTTTGGGTTACTCAAAACATTGGTAATTATTATCTTTTTTCACCTTCAATTTTTTTGTTTTAGTTTAAATGTACCTATTTTTTTTTAACCTAATGTCTTCTTGATTTGGAAAAATGGAACTTTTTATTTTATGGACAGTTTGGACCATTTCAGAATTTTGTTCCAAGACTCTTGTTTGAGTTGAGGAAATTTGTTGAAACCAAGCACATTTTACACACAGTTTTGGTTTTAACAAACAGCATTTTCTGTTGATAAATTCCCAAACACATCTGCTCTTAAGTGGTCGGACCATCTTTTTTAGCGGTGCCATCGTCCTCGCTGTAGCAATGCATTGTTATATTGCAGTATCCAGGAGGTACAAAGAACTGATAGTGATCAAACATTCTCTGCATGCTTTTTTTTGCCCTTCAGACAGTTGCCTTCTACATGGCACATACTAGTAAGGGTTCCTCAGAAAGGGAGATGATTTTATACAGACTGCACAGAGAGACACGACTAACTCCTCTCTTGGCGCTAGGGGCCCATCAGACTGTTACTTTGAGAGTTTGACCTTTAACCTTTGTTGCAAAAGTGATGACTGGCTGCAAAGGCTGGAGGCCAAGGGCTTGATCTGGCACACCACTAAATCACAATTTCCCTTGTCTTTAATGAGGATAGTGGCAGATGCAAGTCACTCCTGTTCAGAGTCCAGCCCAAGGCCCGTGATCCTCTTTAAATCCTGAAAGCAGAACATAAGTGGTTCATAGGTCTTGGGGTGTGTTTTTCACCTGGTTTTTGTAAAGGTTTGCAAAAACCAAATAAGGTGCCTTTGGTTGTTTCTTATAGCTGTGGCATACTCAGCACTCAGAGTTAAACTACTGAAAACATTATCTGTCTTGCTGACTGGTATTGTTTTGCTATTTACCCTGTTTGACTGTATCCATCTGCTATCTCTTGACTTCTACTTTGATCTTACGCTCTTTGGAGCAAGGATCAGTTTTCTGTCCTGTCTTTGCACAGTGATTGATACCAGGGAGGTATGGGCCTTGACCTGGGTTCCTATGCACCGGCACAATATAAATGATAAGTACCCATAGTGGGGTAACTGTTGTGAAAGACACTATGAAAATCACTAGTGGTGGGATGAAGTGGAGATATTGGAAAAAGGTGAACTTGATAACTCTATATAAGGAGACATTTTTTCTCTTTATTACTGCTAGTCAGATTGCTTATGCAATCCTGTCACCAGAGTTGTAACGGAAAAAAGCTCACGTTATAAAAAACCTGCAATAATTAACAGCCCCCATCGGTCACGGATCTGCCATTTGGAAGCAGCTTTCACTTTTTCCATTAAGTTGGTCTATTTTGCCAAAGTGCTTTTCTTCAATGTTTTGGCACTTGTCCCTGTTTCAGTCTTGTACAGTATTGGCTAAGGAGTGCAGCAGTAAACCCAGTGCCAGCTGGATCCTGTGCTGTGAATCCATCTCCCCAGTCCGTGTCTCAAATGGAATTACATGGGAGATCTCCCCTAAAGCCCGCTCCCCTGCCTGGGTTGGTCAATTGGAAAGCAAGGAAAATTGGAAGCAAGCTGTTAGTATGTGTGTCCGTGGGGTTCTCCGCACCTCTGCCTCTTTCAGTGTTAGCAGACTTCAGCTTGCTGTGCTGTGACTTGTGGCTGGATTGTAGCCTGCCGAGCACTCTAAAAGCAATTGCTTTTGTTCTCTCCTGTGTATAGATCCAGAGGCTTCATCTTTCTTAGGAAACCTGGTCTTAACTCATGTGATGTCATGTGGTAGGTCAAAGGACTTATCACTGGAGTGAGGGCAAGGTGGTCATACTCTTAATGCATGTTAGCAGGGGAGGTAAATCAAGGGTCCCCATAGTCTGAATTTGACCTGCCAACACGTGTGGAAGCTACAAACTGTCTTATCTTTGCCAAAATTTTACCTCCTGTTAGGGGAGACGCATGCACCACTCAGGCTAAAGGATCTTTGAGCTTGCACATCTTGGATGTGTCTGTGTAGCCAGCCCCATGCTTAACTGGCATGTTTAGTCACATCTGAGTTTAACAAGAGTTTGTTTTGGTACAGAGCCGCAGAAATGAGGGTTGTGTTCGTGCACTGGGTGCTGGCCCTTTTACAGTGATAGGAACGTAGGGTTGGAGACTTATTTTCTACTCCACCCCCACCCCATTTTAAAGCAGAATTAAGTACAACTTGAAAGGGGTAACAGGTCTCCCAAATGCAGCTGCTCATGCTAAAACCCAGAGGGTACATCTACACGTGCAATTAATTCAAAGCAATAAACTCAGAAGCAGTTTGAGCCAGAGTAAACTACTCCTGGGCACAGCATCTACTTGTGCTCCCAGAACAGCAGCAATTTGAGCCAGGGTGGAGCAGTTTAAGCCAGGGCTGGGAGCATGGCGGGGTATCCCCGGGCTCTGGGTGGTAGTGTTGGGAGGTGGCAGGACTGGCTGGGGCACATGGGTGCTTGCAAATGCGGAGCCATGTGGCTAGGCGGCAAGCAGGAGTCTGGCCCCCTGCTGGCTCAACCACCCGGGAATAATTTCCACCCGCGGTCAGGGTCTACACGTGCATTTAACTGCACACTGCACAATTACTGTCACCGACTACTTTCTTACAGCAGCATCAATTAGTTTACTGCGGCCTAATAGTGGAGCATGTGTAGGCGATGATGCTTTACTCTGCAGCTAATTAGTCTGCTCAGCAGTGAAGCATATGTGTAGACATTGCCACAGAGATTGAAATCACTTCAGTTGCATAATGGAGCCAGAAAGCAGTCAGATATCTCCACTGGGAGTTCCTTTGACATAGGGAGAGCTCCCTGGCTAGTACATTGCTAACATAATGATGGAGCAGGAGGGTGTGGCTAGAGTGTACTGTGCTTTGGCTAGTCCAAGCTACCAGATGGCCTATTCGGATCTAAGTTACAGAAGCCTACAAGCTTTTGGAAGGCACAACTCAGATTCAGGCTGGTAGAGACTGCAAAAGAAGGTTATAGTCCATGTCCTCCATTTCCCAGCCAACATAGGATTATTCCTCCAGTCTTGAAGTATAGCAAGTAATGGGATTCATGCATGGATTTCTATACTATTGCCATTAGGCCAGATTCTCCAGCTGGTGTAAATCATTGTCATTTCATTGTAGTCAGTGGAGTCACAGTGAGGAGTTGGTCCAACGCACAAAAAAATCACCACTTACAATCTCTTGTGCAAGAGTTGAAACTCAAATGCGGGAGAAAACCAAGATACTGAGCTATACAATTAGCTGAATTTGCCAGTTCTGAACAGGGTGTAACTCATCTCTCACTCCCACCACCCCCCCTCCTCCTATCTACAATATTGGTCTGTCTGAAATGAAGTCGTAACCAATGAATGATCCATGGTTTTTCTTCCTCTTGTAGAGGATTTTGTTTAGTTTACATTTTTGTCTGGGCTCCTCCAGCTGCCTAATGGCCTTGCTACTTCAATCAGGCTATTAAATCTCCTCTTTGGAAGCTGAGAGAATCTAATCTCATAACTTTCCACTGACAGTTTTAAGTGAACTTAACCAAGGAGTTTCTTATGCTTTTCATTATTTTGATACAGATCAAGGAATTTGTGGGGCAAGGGGTGGTTTTAACTACGTTTTCTGGTATAGTCTTTCCTTCTAACTATCATTTTCACTAGCACCCAGTAGCTTAACATTTACCTAATGGAAAGGTTTGCCAAATGCAGTTTCACAGGTGTGAAACACAATCTTCCAGAGAGCTGCCTCCATGTAGCTTGAAATGCCTCAAATCCTGTGTGGGGCTTTTTGTTTTTGGTTTTCCACTGGTAAGGAGGATTTCCCTACTCATTGAACTAATGAGAAACACATTAGTGGCAGGACTCCAACTCGGCTGGGTATCGGAGGGTTAACATGCTGTTGCCTCTCCTTGTTTCCCTTCTTTCCAAGAAAATAAATCAATTCAGACAGGATTTGTCAAAAAAGAAAAGGTTCTAAATGAGTGAACGAGCACTAGGCTTCACATTTGGTTTGCTCAGATATAAAAGGTAGCTTACATGTTGCTTGCTATACAGCATCCTAGTCCATCCACAAGCACATTCTTGTCATGTCTCCTCCTTTCTCCTCACTTGAAATTATTTTTCCAGCCTCTTGAATTCTGGTGTTTTATCCCGGACGGCACGGGAACTAGCAAAAGGCTTTGGTGGAGAAGTGATGAGTGGAGACTGTGATTGCTGTGTCTCAAAGCAGTGGTCTGGTCCTGATTCATTGCCCAATCAAGAAAGTCAAAGGAAGCCCTTCTGTTGAAATCATCTGGCTTTCAACCAGGCTGTCAAGTGCCAGCGTGATGTTCCAGTAAAAAGCAAGCAGTCATTTCTGCTAGGTTCCTGTTCTCTAGCCCCTTGCAGTCAGTGGGAACACCAATCCTGCGTTCATTTGGTTTATGAGTGATTCCTTATGCAGCACAAAGTCTTTAGCAGTCAGAGCCCGGTAATGCATTTTAATTATAAATATGGTAAAAACAAGAAACTGACCCTTTTTCTTCTTTTCCAATGTTTAGGGGCTCCCTCTTTCTCTGGACCATTTTATATTTTACCTGTTTCCTGGGAGTCACACAGGGAAGTCCTGAAGGTAAATTATACTTACTTATTTATTCATTCATTCATTCATCCCCCCTTCCCTAAAAAGGAATGGTGTAAAGGAATTATAACCATAACTAAGGCATTTGGTTTCAGTCGAAGGAACTTCTAATCAAGATCCCAGTGTGCAGAATTTAATGAGTTTACTGCTGAGGATTTAATTATTGGCCTGTGTCAGCTCTACAGATAATATACATGATACCCAGAGCCCAATTTTTAAAGGCATTTAAAACTTCCTAAAGATATAGATTGGTGTCTAGTGGTATTTGAGGAAAAGCTCCCATGTGCCAAACTCCTTAGACAATCCCAGTAGACATCTCCCTGCATCTACTGGCATTGAAATGCCTTTAAAATTGGCCCATTGAGCCTTTCATCTAATGGTCTTGGTCACAAACAAATTAAGCATCCACTGGAGGCTGGTAAATATGATCAACCTGGTTGTACAGACAAGGAACCAGAGTCAGAAAATAGGAAGGGACGTGTCCAAGAAACTTGTCCATATTTGAAGCATACCGTGAAATTGCCTGCTGTTCACATATGTGAAAGCTTGCACTTTTGTGCTTCTTGAGGTACATCAAGCGATGTTACTTGCATGAGGTGATGCTGACGGTGCAGTGTAACCCTGATGTTCTCCAAAGCTGTGACAGGTGATGTATTGTTGAGGCCAAGAGTTCTAGTCTAGTGCATCCAAACCTGGGCTCTCACTTGCCAAAGTGCATCCCAAGGTATGATTCAACTTATACCCAGACATTGGCAGGGGCATAGGTACATCTGGTTTTCATCTCCTTGTTCACACTAGGTCAGGCCTTTTCTTCTTTGGTTTAATCTAATTCCTCATCCTTCATAGTTGCATTTGCCCTTCACTTGGGAAAACAGGCGGTTTCCTTTAAGGTACCATTGGTCTTCAGTGAGCCAGCACACAGAATGATGCAGAAGAAGATGATGTTTATACCACACTTCCCCATGAGGAAGCAATTGCCGAGCGATCATGTACAGGACTACAGTCATTCCTGGTGACTTTATTGTATACAGGTTATGAGTTGTGTTAGAAGCAGATGCAGTACTTAGTATAAAAATGTGCATATTGATCACTGGTCAGGATTGCTGGAGAATCTGGCCGCTGTCACCTGCACCTCCATGCAATCCAATTTCCTTTTTATTTTCCCCTTTATCTTTCAGTGACTTCCCCCCTTTCTGCTACAGAGAGGGTTCATTTGGGGATGGGAAGGAAAATTCAAATGATTCATGACCTGCTTGAGCTGCTACTGAAGCCCATGCAGTTCTTTTATTTGACTTCACTGTCATGAGAGGGGCTTGTAAATTGTACATGCTAAATTTTCACATTTGTTTTCAAGAGATGGGGTTGTTTTGTTTTGTATTTCTCTATCCTAGTTGCTCATTCTTTTGAATAACTAGTAACCCAGCCAGGGAGCTAGGAATTTCCCTGGTTGATGTTGATAAAAAGATTTCTGTGTCCACAGCTGGATGGTAGAAACTGAACACCTCTCCAACATCTGTTTGTCAGGGAGCCACCTCCTGTATCTTAAAAATAGCAACACCTCCTCCACATGATTTACTCTGAGTGCAGGCTGGAATGGAATAACTTCCTCTGCAATCAGTAGGCAATAATAAGTGAACTAGCAGACTCCAGGCCTCTTAGGCTTCAAAACATGAAGGAAAAATAAAAAGTTGGTCCAAACTCAGCTGTACAGCAGCCCGTGGAGCAGTTTTTGCAGAACAAAACAAAAAAAAAAGACCTGCCCCTGCCATCAGCAATTTCAAAAAATGTAATATTTTCCAAATTCTGCCTCTATGCAGAGGAGGTGAACATCTGGCTGAATCACTTAGTCAAGCAGTTTTCAGACTGCGTTTTATGTTAACTTGTAAAAGAAGAACAAATCCTGTGTTTTAGCTCTTTTTGAATAGGCTTTTAGTGCTCTGTTTTTGGAGTCATGTTTATTGATCGTTTAACTCCCAGGATCATTATGGGATGTTGAAATGTTTTTGGCTCCTGCCATTCACATAAAATAAATTGTTTCATTTTGCTCACAGAAGAAGTCTTCCACTGTGTGTGATGATGCAGTGGAAATCCTGCCACTATGGTGTCATTTCTCTCCCGAGAACATCCAGCACGGCTGGCAGAGAAGAAAAGGATTGTTTCCTAACAACCAAAGGGAAAGTTTCTTCTGTCATTTGGATGCCCATGTTAAACTTTTAGGGGAGACTCATGTTGCAAGCAAATATCATTATTTTAGGTTATATTATTACTTGAGAATATAATGATGGGACTTGCAAAACTCATGTAAATTTTAATGCTGATGTGAAGGGAAGTAGAATTAGGCCAAAACTGTGTGTTTTTGAAAATCCCATCGTTATAGATAACAGGGGATGAGGGGTACCCCATACATTGGAAGGCAATGAAGTGCTACATAGAGGTTACAAATTCAAGGGCCAGTGGACCAGGTAAAGAACAGGTATAAATCCATGGAGCCTCAGTGATTCATGCCAGCTAAGGATCTTAGCAATAGCTTTTGAAATTAGAAGTTTATTCAACTAAATGTTGGATATAGGCACTAGATCTCAGCCAGTAGGATCCAGTAAATTAAGACTGATGTCTCTCCTGCTTTTTGGCTTTGTGTTTTGGTTTGTTATAAAGTTGACATGAGGGGAACAAGTTAAACAGCGAGCCTTTCTTTCAGGGTTGTGATTATTCAGCAATCACAACTGCTTATCACTTTATACATTATATAAAAATCCTCCCTCAGCTCCATCACACACTATATGGATAACACAGTTAGTTTCAAAGGGCTTGGAAATGGACAGCTTTAGGGAATTTATTTTAAAGCAACATGTCTTGATGAATTACCCTAAGAAGGAAAAGGCTTTGATAAACATATAACCAGTTAAAGAAGTCAAAGTTGTCACTTGGTCATCTTTCATTTTGCATTAGCTGATGATGTCTCGTGACCAGGGAACCTGGTTTTCCGTGATAAAAAAAATCATAAATTCTCGGATAAAAAATTGCAAATTCTTGGATAAAAATCCCAAAATCCGTGGTTAAAATTAAATGTTCCCCATAGCCCTGCTGATGTCCCTCACTCCCCCCCCACAACCCCCCAGCTCTGCTTGTGCCCCTTGCCCCCCACCCACAGCCCCTGCTCCCCAGCTGCCAGGGCTATGGGCCAGGGACCCAGGTCCACAGCCCCCTGCCCCCAACCTGCTCCCCCCAGATCTGGGTGGGGGGTGGGGGCAGGGCAGGTGTGTGCTGCCCCTGTGCACACAAAGGAAGTGTTGCCAGGGCAGCATGGAGCTTGCAGCGACGGGCAGCTTTCGTGCATGGGCCCGCTGTGCCCTGCTGCACCAGTTGCACACGCCGTGCTCCAGAGGGCCTGGGGGAGGGCAGCAGGGTGGCGAGTGCAGCATTTGCAACGCAGGGTTTGCAGCTGGCTGGACACTCTGGTCAGGGTAGGTGAGGTGTGCAGTCTCCCCGCTCCTGGCTGGAGTGCCTGGCTGGCTTCAAAACCCCCGTCCCAGCCAAAGTGTGCCCAATCTGGCTGCGGGCTGCAAGCCCCGCCACCCCTCCCCACCTCCCAGCTGGAGTGCCCGGCCGGCTGCAAACCTCCCCGCTCCCTTAGTCCCCAGCCACCTTGGGCACTCCGGCTGGGAGGGGGCGTTTGCAGCTGGCCGGGCACTCCAGCCGGGAGCGGGCAGGCTGCAAATCCGCGTTTTCTCTGATAAAAATGGGAAATCCATGGTTTTCTCTGTTTTTCTGTGGGAAACGGAAAACTTGGATCCCTGCTCATGACAGCCAGGACTGTATATGAAATCAGGATGGGATGTAGCAGCAGGCATGGACTGAGTGAACAAGAGCTCCAGACTGTGTGGCTGGACACAGGGTAGGAAAATCCACACAGCCCCCTCCACAAGGTCTGTTTTAACTAAACTTCATGCAGGCAGCCAGGATATAGCCCACATTTTTTTTAGCACCATTTTATATGGAGGCTAAGAAGGCAGTTGGATTTGTATTTCAAACAGCAGCAGCACCAGCAGAGCAGGAGAAACTTTGTTATGTCTTTGCACAGCTACCGAATGAATAACTCCCAAGAGCACAAAGTATTTCTGCCTTGTCACTGCAGTAGATCTCTAGAAGAGAACCTAAAAATACATCTAACAATTGGAAGCCAGAATTTAGCTCCTAGATCTAAGCAGAAAGTTTATTTCTTTAGGGCCAAATCCAGGACCCTTTGCAGTCCATGGCAAGGCTCCCACTTGACTATACTAGAGTCAGGATTTGGCCTTAAGCATTTGAAAGACCTCGGGAAAAGATCCAAAAGACAGAAGTGACTTTTAGGCTAGCTCTGTACACCATTCAGCAAACATGAAGGGCATGCTACCATTGCCGTGGTGGAAGAAATCCCTATTGTGTAATAGGAGAGGAGGCTGTCTGGGAACCAAGGACTTGCTGACTCAGGGAGAAACATCAGTATTAATCAATAGCACATGTTCATACAATAAATTAGCTTCTCAGCCTAGAGGTAACTGAAAGAAAATGTCCATCCTCTTTCACACTTCCCCCCTAGACATCTCTGCTGTAAAGCGAGCCTTAATGCCTTAAAAAAATAAAGGGGTGAGAGTGGAATCAATCGGTACCAGGCAAACTAAGTATTGATTTCCTTGTTCCAGCATACAAAAATGGTTGTGATTTGCCAGAGTCAAGAAACAGAGCAGCTCTCTCCACTCTTTTCCCTTCCTGGCCAGAGACCATTACAGGCCTTGGACTGGCTTGAGTTTTCCACTCTTCTAGTCAACGATGAGGAACTTTCTCTGTGCCAGTTCCACAAATACTAAGAACTGCGCTGGGTGTGTAACAGCGAAGGGTGACGGAGCCCACATGCCAAGGCCCGCTTCGGGGCATGTATTTTCCTGAGCAACCTTTGGATTTTCTTTTCTTTTTTTTTCCCCTGAAAGTCCTGTGACGTTAATTGATGCGTGTCTGTGGCTGGTGTTACTACCGTTCTCATTCTTAAAAGCTTGCCTTTGGATACAGATATTTGGATGGAGTAATCCAGGCGAGTCGCCCTCTACCAGAGCAGATTATTCACTGATAATTTAAAAAGGAAGATTAGCTGGCAATCAGGGGACAGGGAGTGTGCTTTTCAGTTATGTGTATGTAAAGGAAAATAAAACCTCTTGTCTGCCCAGTTTTGAGTAGCTACTTTCCCCGCTGAGCTAACAGAACAAAGGTAGAGTAACAGCGCTTGACATGAAGAGTGGAAACGGGATAAGAGCCTGAACTTCTTATGGCACCTATAGTGTTTAATAGGGGGGAAGCCAATAGGTTTTTGTAGCCATTAGAGCCAATAGTATTTACTAAAGAACCCAGTCACTTCTGTAGATCCCTATTGGTTGGTTTAAGCCTTCTATAGAAAGGTGTTACATTTTAGGGGCCTTCCTGCCATTGGGGTTGAAGTCAATGGAGCTATTCCATTGATTTGAGTGGGAACAGAGCTAGGTTCTAAAACTCTCTTATTTCCACCCCAGGATTCACTTCCAAGGCTTCTTCTATCCCCCCACACAGACCTTTTTCTTCCTTCCAAAACCTTGAACATCTGCTCAAGTTAAGCATTGCAGCCCAGTCAGAAGCCAGGAGTTTCTGCTGCTTGTTGCCTGTTAATTTGCCATACACTTGTAAGGCTGCTTTTACTGCAGAGCCAGAAGTCAAAGCGATACTGCCTACCTTGTGGGTCTACCAGAGTAGACTGGACAGATATTTGGCTGGGGTGATATGATCGCAGCACCCATTCCTGCCTGGGGAAGGGAGTCGGACCCGATGATCTGTTTAGGTCCCTTCCAACCCTAAGCGCTATGAAACTACGCCTTAGCCTGCTCATTACATGCCTTTTGCTTGACTAGTGGACCTCAGCTTATTCAGCTCCATCCCACTTTATTTCTAAAACACTTCATTTACTTGTATGGTTCCTTCAAGCTCTGCACGAAATGTAAACCTCTGAGATCATCCATTGTAACTAATGCCACAGGGCAAATTCTTCCAGGGGCTCAATTAAGTCTCAGTGCAGCTTTCTCATGCCACCAGCCATTTCTTTTTCTCTTGAAACATCACGGTGTCACCAAAGGCCATGAGTTCATTGCAAATGATGGTGCTTGTGAATCTGGAAAGATGAAGATAAGGGCCTTCACTCCAGAAGCCTCTGCAGAAAATAAACCTCCCTGCCTCAAATCAACATATTATTAAAAATGTCTGACTACATTGAATTATAATTCCACTTTTCCCATATGACCATAACATAACCAGTGTTAATCCCAAAGATTCAATCATATTGTGTGTAAGATTGGGATTTGGGAAAAAAAACTTTCATTCTGGGTGTAATGCTGTATTCACCTTTTGAAACATGTGGCACAGGTCACTGTTGGAGGCAGAACACTGGGCTAGATGGACTCTGCATCTGGTCCATTTTGTCGTTTCCTCCAAGATATTGTGACGATGTGCTTGCTTATAGACAGAAAATCAGGAAGAAACAGCTAGTTGCATCTATGGTCTGATTGTTTGAACCAGTTTGACTTGGGGGGAGTGTAGGGACTGCTGTTACTTCACTGCATTTAGGGACTGAGTGATCAACAATTCATTGGCATCCATGAAAAGACCTGAAGGGGTGTTGGACCAGGCTGTAATTCATGTACTCACATTCTGTTTCTATTTCTTTCAGATGTGGACATTCTTCAAAGACTGGGCCTGGCAGGGAAGAGGCCATCAAGCGGGTGGTCTTCAATGCGCTCAGTTCCTCAGGGGGTCATCCCTTTCAAATTGGGGGTCATCTTCACTCAGCGAGCGCGCATTGAAGCTCCCGTCAGCTCCATCTTTCCTGCTGCCTTTGGCACTGACTTGGCATTAGTGCTGAGCCTGTGCTCCCACCGCATCAACAATGCTTTTCTATTCGCTGTTAAGAGCAAGAAGAAAAAACTGCAGCTGGGGGTCCAGTTTGTCCCTGGGAAGATCATAGTGTACATAGGCCACAAGCGTTCTGTATATTTTGATTACAATGTTCATGATGGCCAGTGGCACAATATGGCCATTCACATCCGGGGGCAGACGGTCACTTTATTTACTTCTTGTGGGAAGCAAAGAATACATGCAGATTTGCATTTTAAAAAAGACGAGGCATTGGATCCACAAGGATCTTTCCTCTTAGGAAAAATGAACCAGCACTCAGTACAGTTTGAAGGTGCCATTTGCCAGTTTGATATTTATCCTTCCGCCAAGGCAGCTCATAATTACTGTAAATACCTGAAAAAGCAATGCAGGCAAGCAGATACCTACCGGCCGAATCTGCCTCCACTCATCCCACTCTTACCCAGGGATCCCAGTGCCTCCCCAAGGACCCCGCTGCAGGTTGAGTTCCCGCTACAGGGTTTGAAGAACCTGACCACTGTGATTCCACCATCAGAGCTTGACAAGGTCACCCCACCCCTCAAGACTCGGAAATCAGCTGCAGGATCTGTCACCCTGCTTCCATCTAAACAGCCATCACCAAGATTAACAACTAAAGCCACCAAGGTTACAGTGGCACGTTCTCCTCTTCCATCAGGTGCTCAAGTGCAGCCATCAGTCCGTTCGTTCCCTCAAACTACTACAGGAGCCCTCAGGATATCTCAACCCTCTCCCAGTGCAAGCTTGGAAAAGTCCTCCCTTCCCACGGCCAGGCATGTCCTGCCTTCTGGCCAAGACTCCACTGCTGCCAGCAGGAAAGAATCTGGGCAAGAAACCAAAAAGAAGATCCACCAAAAAACAACCCCTAAACTCTCTGAGATGCCCAGCACTGTAAAGCCAATGAGAAATAACATGGGGAACGCAACTAGCAGCATCCATTTCATTACCCTAAAGCAAACCGCAGAGAGCGTCACCAGTGGACCCATTCCAAAGAAGCTTTTGCCATTACCAACCAGGAAAGCGGATCCTACTACTGTTCCTTTCTTGCACACCAAACTGACACTTGGATCTCTTCATCCTAATTCCAGGACCAGTGTGCAAGTCTTCAACGTCACAACACCTGCTGCCACTGATGGGTTTCAGATCTTTGACCCCTTTGGACCTACCCTGTTTCCATTTTTACTCGGACTTCCAGGACCTAAAGGAGACAGAGGCCTCCCGGTAAGTCCAAGTTTTTAATAATGTATTTCTTCCTGGCACAGCCCCATGAATAGTCAGTGGTCAGTCAGATCTGAATTCTTGACCAGGGTCTGCTGTTCCCTCTTGAGCAAGGACTTGCTGAACCTGCCTTAGGCAAGTCCCTTTGCCTCTGCATTTCCACCGTCCCTTTTATGGAATAGGGGTAATGCTTGCCTTGCTCTTTTAAGTGCTTTGAGGTCTCTGCATGAAACTGCTACATCAGAGCAAAATATTTTTGTTTGCTAAAGAAGTGCCTGAGCTATAAAGTTTGTAACTGAATTTCTACAAGGTGGTACCCAGGGTTTGGGCCCATCCCTGCTCTAAACAAAGTGGATGTGATGCGAGCAGCAGAAGTCGATTGCTAATTTACTATAAGTGCATTCAGGCTGAGGCCTAACCTTCATTACAGAGTTCTGCTGGCAGAACTGAATGTGCATCTACACTGCAGCCTCCTCTGTGCCAGCGGTCTGACACCTCATCTGTCAAATGAGGTTACACTTCTGGCAGCTGGCACATGCAGACACTCCAACAACTTCTGGGGGCTGCCCTAGTCCATCAGCCACTGGTGCACTCCAGGGTACACTTCCCGCTGTGACAGCACAGGTGTTGGAAGTGGAGTCATGCAGTTTGGCTCCTGGGCAGCAGTGACTATACTATGTGCCACTATTGCTTGTTAAAGGTAGGTAAGTATAGAAAACCAATGGGGAACCCCCATGAAATGGCATTTGTCTCCTTCGCATCCCCCAGGGCTGGGGAGAGGCTCAGAAAAGCACCAAGAGTGACTGCTTTCACTTTGAATCTCCACTGTGTTTCAGTTATGCCACTCTGCAAAAGTACATTTTCCAGACACTCTGTGCCAGGTTTAACCAATACAACACAGTGCACATCCCTTTCAGTGCATGACAGCTTAGTAAAGCTAGTGAAGATATTACAAAACCAGCCAGTGAGCACAGGGTGCCATATATTAAAAATGTATTCTAGAAATGCTGCATGTTTTGCGTATCACAAAAATGGCCCGTCTTTGATATTTTTGTATGTAAAATGTATTAAAAATGCTGCTGAAGTAGGAACCTGGACGTTCTACAACAAGCTGGAAGATGATTTTTGTCTCTGCAGGCTTATTTTGCATTAGAGTATTACCTAGTGCCTCTTTTTCAGAATGAGTGATCTTTTGTGTTAGAAACTGCTTAAATAAGTAGTAAAATGTTAATTCCCACCTCCCCTCCCCCTACCCCCTTGCAATATCGCAATATTTCTGACTGGTTAAATACATAATCCTTTGAGGTGCTGAGCTCCCAGTGAAATCAAGCCCTCGTCTCTTAGCTGATTGATTGGAAAACTCTGTAGGTTGGGATTTTTAAAAGCACTTACAGGAGATGTGTATCTAGCAGTGGGAGTCTGGATGCCTTCACTTCTTTGAAAATTGAAGCCTAAAACCATGGATACAGGAACACATTAAACCAGGAAATTCCTGCT